TCAACCGTTTCGACACGCCGTGTGCATACGCACCGAAGTTTTCTCCAATCAGGGTTTCGAGGACGGTAGAGTCGAGCCCGGTTTTAGAAGCCAGCACGTGGGCTTCACTGAGCAGAAGCATGAGACCTGCGGTTATGAAATTGCTTGTTGTTTTCAGCAACAGCGCCTGAGATGGTTCTTCACCCACTCTAATCACCGCGCGTGCGATCACGTTTTCAAGGAAGGGCAGGATGGGAGTGATGGCAGATGGAGGCCCCGCAATAGCCATCAGCAAACGCCCGGCTTGGGCGAGGGGTGTGGCGCCGAAGACGGGGGCGGCGATGTAGGATGCGCCGGAGGAAGTGAACTGCGCTGTTATGGCTGATGTGGTGGTGGGGTGGACGGTTGTTGTGTCGATTACGGTCTTGGCTGTAATGGGGCCGCTGGAGAGGATGGTGGATATTATCATTTGGAGGGCTGTGTCGTCGCTTACCTGGGGGATGTTGGTGAGATGGGTTTATATTGGGTATGGTGAAGACTCACGGAAACGAATATCACATCGCAGTTTTGAACCAATTCTGTGACCCCCGAACAGGGCGTGCCTCCGATGTCTTTCAGGCTGTCACCTCGTGAGAGGGTTCGGTTCCAGTACTTCAGTGGTGGTAGATTGTGCTGTGAGAGATGTTTCTGGATGTTGGTCGCCATGGCTAGGCCCATTGATCCTAGGCCTATCCATCCTAGGCGAAGAGGTTGTTGTATGGACATATTGACCGGCTGTAAGGTCGCGTGTTTTGCGTTGGTCTGAAAGACGGTGGATTTGAATGCTACACTTATCCCCAAGGTGAGGTGACTCAACTTGAAGCCGTGGGTATGAGTATACATGCACACGAATCGAGTATGCAGTACACTAGTATGTATTAGGCAAGCGACTATCTGATACAACCGGATATTCCAGGAAGAGTGTGGTCGCGGACAAAACTTACAGCCTTGCACTATCTTAGTATACCAGAGTGGGATACCTTGTGTAAGGCCAGCAAAAGTAGAACTACGAAAGGATCCTCTACATTGCACGCCATCAGTGTAGCTTGTAACAAGAGCTCAATGCCGAATGATACCATTCCTTGTGTTTTGTCAATAATGTGAATAATACAAGTGATGCATGGAGGACCCCAAACTCCTGGCTATGCTGATGATCGTAGATGAAAATGAACCAATCTCCAATAGTCCTGTTTATACATCTCGCGACCAAACCGTGACGAAAATTCGCCCTACCCTACTCCCCTCGTGTTTGTTTTTGGATCCAAGCTGTCACTTTAGATGCCGAGCGCTGCAATAGCACTGTCTTCAGAGGCAACGTATCTCCAGAAGTCTACTCTTCGTCCTCATCATCGTCGACCACACGTCTCCGCTTCGTCCGGCTAACGACCACCTCGTCGTCGTCGTCATCGTCGGCAGCAACACCACCCCGTGCTCGCTTGGGACTCGCGGCAATACCCTCATCTGGATCATCGTCGTCGTCCACGATCTCCGGCTCCTCGTCACTAGCGGCAATGAAGTCATCCTCTTCGTCGTAGTCGTCCTCGCGGTTCCTCCGTGGGCCACCATAGTCTTCGTCGTCACTCCAGTCACGCTGTAAGCCACCCTTCTGCGCGTTCTTCTTCCGAGCCGGGCGGTCTTCCAATCCGTCAATGTCGAGACCTCCTGAAGCGCGACCGCCGGTGCGGCCCATGGTGCGGTTTGCGCGCTCTGCCTGACGCGCTTCGTGCTTCTCGCGGGCGCGCAATTGCCTCTGCTTCTCCTTGAATGTAGCCTCTTCGCGTTGTCGGCGGAGCTCGGGGTCTTCGTCCACGTTGATGAAGGATATGGCTTGGTCGGCATCGTCTCGGCCCTTTGCTGCGACCTTGGCAAGGTCGTTTTGCAGCTTTTCCAGCGCGGCGTCTTTCGTGTTCGATGTGGGTACGACGTTGAGGGATGCCGTGAGCTTGTTCGTGACGCGCATAACGTTCGCTTCCTCGTACGGCGCAACCAGGTATGTGTAGCTCTCCTTCTTCGCGCTTGTCTTGCCATTCTTCTCGTCTCTGACAGCCGTTGGTGTGGGAATCTTGGGGTTGACTTGCGGTGGGGCTAGGGTGTTCGCATCGATGTCGTACTGGGTTGTAGGGTCGGTCGCAAGTTGAAGGGTAAGGGATCCATCCGACCACCTGAGGATTCGAGCATTGGACTGTAGGACGGCGTTGTTCGAGGGTGAGCGTCGCCATCTGACCGTGGTCATGGCGGTGTTGTAGGCTGAGAAGTGCTCAGACGCGGCGAGCTTGGAGTGGTGGTCTGTAGTCGGCGGCTGGAAGGTCTTGTGATCGAATGCTTTGTCTTCGAAGGATAAGAAGCGCGGAACTTTCAGAAGGTAAAGCTCGTTGTCGGTGGGCTCGGGAACGGGATGTCGCGCCAGGTCGGCGTCCATGTAGGCAAATGTTTGTTGCTCGACCTCTTCCACAGCTTCTGGTGCCCTGACGCGATCTGCCCGTCCCTCATCGTCGCCTGAATCGAGCTCTGCATCATCAAGCTTCCGGTGCTCACTAAACACGTCAGTCTGATACTGGTACTGGGTTCTTCGCGACCTACGCTGGCGCATCTTCACCTGCATCCCCGTCTCCGTCGCCAAACAAGTCATCCTCATCATCCTCGAGACCGTTGTCCTCCACGGTATTTAGCGGCGTGCCATCGTCGGCATTCCCAGCAGGAGTTGCCTGGCCATTGACTTCTTCGTCGGAGAGCTGGCCCGCGTCGGACATGGTCGCGGTTGGTGGTTTGCTGGTGCTTCTGTTGGTACCGTATCTAGACTCTTCAAGACAGCGACGCGACCGTAGACCTAGAGTTGCGAGTAAATTGACGAGATAGATGCGGTAAAGGTACGCGCACCGACTGATGGCCGCGATGAACAAAGTTGCGACCAGTAACCCGTGAGAATCGCGCTATCCCAATCCGTCCTAGCGTGCCGCCCCTTCTCGATGCAGCCCTTAGGAGAGTGGGCCCAAAAAGCGTGCCCGCTCGAGACGTATCACCAACATCCTCCCCCTCAATCCTCTTGCATACCTTCATAAGCCGGCCTCTCTAGGTGCATTGGACGTATCCGCCCCGTACCCCCCACACTAAATTCCACGAATCCGCAAATCATGGCCTCTTTTTTCGCAAACGTGTAAGTTGCTTGGCACATGCTCCCCTTCCTCAAATGCTCGCGCCTCCCACCCCCAGTCCACGGCCTGAAACATTCAGGCATTTGCTGCATGTCGTCTCACGATTTCACTTTCTGATATGCACCACTTTTCGGCATCTCCCTGCCGTCTTATTGTGTTATAACTTGCGTCCGTCGGAGCCTGAAGTTGTCTTTTCCTCATTCTAACAACTTCACCGATAGTCGCCAAGGATTGGCTGGTCGATCCAACAAGGGCCAACAGCAGCAGGGCAAAGGTGGCTCCGCGTCGCCAACCACTCCATACTCGGCTTCACCAACAAACCAACAACCTCCAGGCCAACCGCCTATGCCCCATTCTCCCGCTCTATCCTCTGCCATGTCGTTCGAAAGCCAAGGTGCTCCGTCGGATGGGTCCGTGCCGTCTGGCTCCCGCAGACCGCCTTTCTTCTTCCGCGAAGAGTACTCCAACTTGATCGTCAAGGGTAACTTTATGACTTTGGCTGCGAAGCCGAAGCTAGTCGAAGAGGGCGAATGGCTTGCACATCAAGGTACGTTTATACTTTTCAATGCCCCGATATCGCTAAGCATGTGACCAGTTGTCGAGCAGTACAGGCTACTCGAGCAAATGATTGAAATCATCAAGGTAACAGACGACCGGACAGGCAAGCCTGTCTGCAACCCAGATACCTGCCCTACCATGTCTGCCAGCGGTCACACATACACCTGGCTGGACAACAACAAGAAGCCCATCAAGATCCCCGCAATCCAGTACATCAACCTCGTACAAAAGTGGATCGTGGGCAAGATCAATGACCCCAACATCTTCCCCACAGACACCACGGCCATCTCTATCGGAGCATCAACCTACGCTTCCGGTTCCATGACACCAACCTCGACGCCACAGCCTCTCGGCCCAACCAGTTCCAATGCCTCAATGTCCCAACTCGCCGGGCGCGAGTGGCTCGGCAAGTCGTCTGGCTTCCCTGAGACGTTCGAGGGCGACATCAAGAGTATCTACCGCCAGATGATGCGATGCTATGCACACATCTACCATGGCCACTGGCTGGACCCCTTCTGGAACGTGAGTGCGTACAAGGAGCTCAACACGTGCTTCATCCATTTCATCAACGTCGGCAAGCTGTTCAACTTGATCGGCGACAAGGAAATCGAGCCCATGCAGCCGCTGGTCGACCTCTGGGCTGAGAAGGGTCTGCTTCCGCCAATCACGGCGGCCAAGGAGGCAGGTGGGCAGCAGGCTGCACCCGCGTCTTGAGCGACAAGAGTATTCCACTTAAGTAACGAAATGGGCGCCATTTGACATGGAACACCACATCAGCAAGCTATCAACATTTATCGCCTTGCATGGGTAGCGTGAGGGGTCTGGGAGGGGACGATTGGCGTTCTGGCATGTATTACGATTTGCGCAATGTAGCCCTACATGTGAATAGAGCAATGAACAGTTTCAGACAATTTCTCGGGTCACCACACATGCAGTCAAAACAGCAGCTAGTAAGAAGAGACTCAAATTTGATAGTACCACGTAAAGTAACCAGAGAACTGATTTCCCAACGATCCCAGAAACGAAATGTCATAGTACTTCACACAAACTCCAATGGCGAAAAGAGAAGAGAAACCATGTGTCTCCGCTCCACCATCCGATCTGACATTTGACACCGATGCAAATACATTTCATGGGTCCGTGGTTTTGTAGAGATGCGTCATGGCTGGGCTCTGCCACAACGATGGGGCGTGCGTTCGTTATAAGAGGTCTGTGCTAGCAGACGGTTGGCATTTTCGTGACTCGCTATGTGACGGTTCGCGCTCGCCGAACTTAGTTGTGACCGGCCTTGCGGAGAGAGTTGCTCAACCACTCGAGACCCTCGTAGAGACCGTCACCGGAGGTAGCGCAAGTCGACTGGATGTACTGCAGGGGGTTAGCTGACAGGCGTTTGGAGCAGGGGGGACCCGGAACATACCCAGGCACGTTGTCGGAGGCTGTGAAGACCAAGCTTGTCGGTGATCTCAGCGGCGTTCATGGCGTTCTGACGCATTGTTAGTCGTTTGGACATTTGTGTTCACGGCTCTTGAAACCTACAGGCAAATCCTGCTTGTTGGCAAAGACAAGGAGGAGAGCGTCCCGCAGCTCGTCCTCGTTCAGCATGCGCTGGAGCTCCTCACGCGCCTCAACAACACGGTCGCGATCGTTGCTGTCAACGACGAAGATGATACCCTGGGTGTTCTGGAAGTAATGCCTCCACAGAGGACGGATCTTGTCCTGACCGCCGACATCCCACACGGTGAACTGAATGTTCTTGTACTCGACGGTCTCGACGTTGAAACCTGTAGGTCGAAGAATCAGCGCATTGTCCTGATTGAGCTCATGCTGCACATCGCGACGTACCGATGGTGGGGATGGTGGTGACGATTTCACCAAGCTTGAGCTTGTAGAGAATGGTGGTCTTTCCGGCAGCGTCAAGACCGACCATGAGAATGCGCATCTCCTTCTTTCCCCATAGCTTATCGAACAGCTTCGAAAATGTGAGACCCATGATTGCGGTGGGTGTGTGTGGTAGTGTAGGGCGGGTGAGTTGGGAGGCGGTGTATAGACTCTCGAACCTGCGACACTAGTTGTCAGAAGAGGGTTGAGGAGAGTATCGTGGCCTTATCGGCTGGTATTGAGCACGGTGACGGGAGTCGCATGGCCGGCGCAGCCATGTTGGGCGCCCGTTGCGGAGTCGACTCGAGGCCACGAGGGAGCTGGCCAGGCGCCGGCTACGGGTTGGGCAAAGCAAACGCAGAAAAAACAATGCAGCGGCGATTGACTTACGGACAGGTTCAAGAGAGTCGGTGGTATTCGGGGATGGGGCGGGTGGATGTGATGTACTCTAAACGATGCACAGGAAGGGCTGCGTTGAAGAGATGTGGTGGAAAGCGCGGCGAAGTCTGGGCACTGTTCGTAAGCTGGCAAGTGCCACTGACACGTGACAAGGGCGGCGATCGCTTATCGTCGTTTTGTTGAAGGAGTTGCGGTGAGAGGCTTCTTGCTTGCAGCTATTCCTTTACTTGGAACGCTTCTTATGATCGCTACTAAGAACTTGACACGTTTTGGCTCTCCTGAAGGCCGGATGTGGAACCCAAGGCACCCATTTATGTTCGGTTGGGCGATCAGCTGCCCCGGGATTGCGTGAGCTCCAGGACCCACAGCTATCCGCACTACTGACTGGGCAACCGCTGTATACTGACGTCTGGCCAACGCGACGTGTAGTTCGTGAGATATTCTGGGTCGCATTGATCAATGCGCATGCGTTTGTCTTCCAGGGCGACCGAGGGACGCGGACCACCCAGAACACCTTGAAGTCTAGCGACGGGACGGTATGGTTCAACCACATCAGTAAGTCGAGGCGCATTCTCCTGGTTTAGGCATCAATAGTCCAAGAGGACAACATCACATCATCGAGTGGATACATGGTTATTGCAAGGCAGCATTGACATTGATGTCGCATCAGCTAATTTCGCCGTATCCTCGTCACCCGCATCTGTCTTCTGCTCCGGTCGTTCATCTAGCTTGTCGCTCGAGTATCTCGACTACCCTGACTCCATCCGCGAACCTAGGCCTCGGTGGCCATGGCTCCAGCAGCCCGGATGATAGTACGGAAGCACAGCGAGACGCTTGCAATCCAAAGGCCACTGCGAACAAGTGTAGGCGCCTGAGTCGAAGTGGTGATGTAGGCGGCAGTGTAGGCGACCCTGACAGCTAGGAACGAAGCGCTGAACGAAGCGAGCTCGCCCTGCGGCAGGCCAGCAATGTTACCAAGGATGACGGCGCCCATGAAGAGAGGAAGGTTCTGTTACTGTTAGCTTGACGGACGTTGCAACAAGACTCGATCAACTCTCACCTCCATCCCGTTGGCATGACAGGCCTCCATACGTTCGTACTTGGCGTAGGTCTCAGCAGGCAGGCGCTTCTTGAGCTCGGCCTTCATGTCGTTGGAGCGCGGGCTTCGGTTGTCCCATTCGAGGAGATTGCCCCGAGTAGCGACACTCACAGCGAGAGCGTGAGGCAAGAACGAGACTGATTATCAAGAAACTAGGTTAAACTACCGATTGAATGTAATCTCTCACCGGACAGCATGTACATACGGATGAGGTAGGCTGGAATCGCCAAGACCGAGGCGTTGTAGCCGTCGAGGAAGGAAGGCATGTTGTTCTTGCGAGTGTCTGGCTGTTGTTAAGGTGTCGTGTGTTGGTAGAGGAAGAAGGAAGATCTGTTGTGAGCGAAAAGCTTTATTCGTCTTGTGGGGCTGTATTCCGCGGTGACTGCCTTAAGAAGTGAGTACCCCAGGTGAAGTGAGAGTGACTAGCACGGGTGCTCTTTCCTTGCGAGGACACGTCCTACGGACCGCCGTGACACCGCTACGTGAATGTGGAAGTCGCGCACCTGGGCAGTCACGGACAACAGCGCTACACCTCATACAAGGAAAAGATCGATCAGGCCTGCAGCCTACATTAACATAGAAACATGCAAATCAGATAGCCTAAGGTCTACGCTCCAGGGTGTTCAACTTTCTCCATGAATGAGCTGGCTAGGTCAGATCGTGAAGACATTGCGCACTCAACCTCAGGTGTCTATAGGGCCACAGGGTGTACGAAAAAGACCCTGCAAGGGTCTCAAGAATTCTGGAGGAGGCAAGCGAATTGATCCTTGGTATCCGGCAGGCTATCTCTACAGCTCGCTGACTGTCACTGCGGGGCGGGATGTATGCCCCACCTCCAGGGTTGTCACCATACCCATCGTCCCCTCCGTACATTGTTTTCTCCACGCTATACCTTCATCTAGCGATTACATCCGTATTTAACACATTGCACAAACGCATGATACGTTACGATTGTTCGGAAAGACCGCCTCAACGATACCAAGCCTTATTCAGCCGATCAACATGGACGTCACGAAAAGTGCTCCTCGAGAAGTTTGTGCTGTATGCTGGGGAGTTTGCGGATTCGCATCAAGCAGAGAGAATCTTGAGATGGCCACAAGTCTAGATGGTCTCACTTCATTTTGTCAGGCGCGAGACTTACTTGCAGCATCAGCTCAATGTGAAATGTGTGACTATCTGTTCAACGACGCCAAAAAGGACACCAGTCGTTTCGATCTAGATGCAAGAATCGCCATCAACATACAGTTTTCTAAGTTCGGAGGAGTAGAGAGTTTTAAAGGTTCTGTCGATAATGTAAGGATTTTTACGAAGGTAGAGGGGAAAGATTCACGTTGGTTCGCAGACTCAGGCTGGTCGGAAGAATTGGGGTTTATTACATGGTCGGTTCTGGCTCGCCGTGGTTCGTATCCCGCCCGCAACCACGACTTAGCATCAACTGACATGGTTTGTGATACTCAGATGATCCTGCGGCAGCAGAGATTAGATGTTCTCCAGTCAATCACGACGTCAGCTCTAGCACCAAGCAAGCTAAATCCTGGATTGAAGAGTGCAAGCAACTTCACAAGCACTGTCCCGAACCCGCTATTCCTCTATTACCAACAAGAGTTTTAGATGTCAGCGAACAAGCTATTCGACTGCGTATTTCTAACGGCGAACGGTGCCATTACTGTGCTCTAAGCTATTGTTGGGGTGGTCCACAACCGGTACGGACGTTGGCCGAAAACATAGAAAGCTACAGAGCCGGCATCCAAGTCTCGGCTCTACCACAAACTCTACAGGATGCAGCATCTTACACGCGGAAGTTAGGGGTCAAGTATTTGTGGATCGACTCACTCTGTATCGTGCAGGACAGCGTAGATGATAAGCGTCAAGAAATTGCGAGGATGGCAAGCATTTATCAAAATGCATTCGTCACCATCGCAGCTACGAACGCACCAAGATGTGTAGACGGCTTTCTATCGAAAAGACGCAGACCGAGTCACGAAACTTTTGTCGGGGATCTTCCCTGGAGCTGTCTAGATGGCAAGCTTGGGAAGGTGTCCTTGCACCGCCAATCTGCTAGGAAACCGCGCGAGGAGCCACTCGAAGGAAGAGCATGGGCCCTGCAAGAGTTTTTGCTTTCTCCACGCGTACTATCTTTCTCCTCACAACAGCTAGTGTGGGAGTGCCAAACCGTCAGATACACCGATGGAGGAAACCCTGAGTCACGGGGATCCCATGAGGAGATGGGCAAAATCAGAACAGTACCATCCATGTTATCACCCTTGACAGCTGCATTGGTTTCGCAGTCTCCGCACAGTACGTCCACGCATAAAGTATGGAGAAACGTCGTGAAAGACTTTACTCGAAGGGAAATGACTGAAGAAGGCGACAAGCTTCTGGCAATTTCCGGCATTGCCCAGCAACTCCATCTCATGACGGGAGACGAATATCTAGCTGGGTTGTGGAAAGCGTCTCTAATGTCAGAGTTGATGTGGTCCCACAACATGATGTTCGACGTTGCCAAAGGTCCCCAACTCGCTAGACGACCCGAGACATATCGTGCGCCATCATGGTCATGGGCTTCTGTTGAGGGAGCTATCGAATTTTGTGGGTCACCGAATTACCCGAAGCCAGTAGCACAAGTCATACAGTGTGAGGTCCTCTTGACAAACTCGAGCAAGCCATTTGGGGCTGTCATTGATGGTCGTTTGGTAATACGAGGGCTGTTACGTTCGCTGGAAACAGACGAAGTTCTCCAGTACTTCGACCTGGGCCCTACTAAATTTACAGGGGCAAGGATACCCCGAATGATCCTAGACGGGAACGAAGTTTTGCCAGTCTCCAGTGCAGTCTCGCTGCCCGACAGCATTTCAGGTGATGCTCAAGTCGATCAGCGCATATGGTTACTGGAGATGGGTCGCTACCACGCATATCCTTGCGGCTTTGTCCTTCGCCAGGCTTCTCAAAAAGATCATCAATCATTCCGTCGCATTGGCTGGTTCGATACTAGGTCGCCATGGTTCGACGCAACATGGTGGACCCGCGATACCTCTATAGAAACAATCACGATAGTTTGAAGAAGATTAGGAGCCACTTCAGCTCGAAGGGATGGGAGGATACGCGAATGTGAACACACGCTTGATATCCCAAACTCCAAGACGCCCAAAGACTGTTCCATGTATGTACTATAAGATGGCTACATGTCATTCAACACTCCTTCAACAAAGCTTCCAATTCCTTCTAGGGATCGGCAGGTGGCAGAGTATCTTCACATATATAACGCACCAAACAGCCTGTCGGCCCACCGACGCACTCCTGATACGGCTCACATTCTGCGCACGGCGGTTCGAAAGCCCTACAATACTCTGGGTCGGTACACGTAAGGCCCCGACAATCTGTAGCCTGCGGCCTCAACCCCGTCTTGTCCTTTGGCTTCGAGACCATCGTGCTCGGGTCGAGAGGGACAATGAACTCAGGAACAGTCCACAGTTGAGCTTCATCGGTCACTGCAAGTCCGTCGACGCCGGCCCATTTATTGCGCTGGTCAGGGTACTTCCAGGCGACGAATTCTTCGACGTGATGGGCGGAGAGTTGAATGTAGTCAACTACTTCGGTACGAGCGGGGTTGAGTCGGCGCAGAACTCCGTCATATCCTAGCACACGGACGCCAATATCACTCTCAAGCATCATGAGGGCATCTCTGAGGGACTGAGTATGTATATTAGTATCAATCATTCGCGCTGTATGTTTCGTGCAGACATACCATTGCGTCGTCATATTCAGCAGGGAGACTTCGGATTCTTCCCACGAGTAGAAATGTCGCCGTTGCAGATAGGGCAGTTGAGAGCTTCATAGTAGCAGCAGACGAAGCAGTGTTGTAATGGATATGATGTAGAAATCTGGCTCGATAGATCGTGCAGTTCAACATAGACGAAAGTTCATACTTTGTAATCTTAAGCTTGACTCGTCGAGGTGCTTGAGAATCAGCGCACCCATGCTACATACGTCGGCATCATCGTCATTGTTGGCAATCCGAACGGTCTGAGTAAGCGAAAACGGAGCGTTAATATAAAGTCACGTACACTGCGTCTCGCTTCTTGCTTTTCCCCTCTTCGCATCGACTGTGCCACGCCCAGGCAGCTCTACGCAGCAACAAACTCCCAATCACCAAGTATTCACCGTAAGCATTCCTTCTTCACTCCCTTGACATGCTTAATCTCTAACACAGGCTATATTGTCTCTCAGCCTAAATTGCCTCATTTTAGGGCTGAACAGCAGATCACGCATCATGTCGACACCACGTCCGGAGGTGCGACCAGATCAAGAAGTAGCGGGGAAACACGAAGATGATCCTGCCTCTTCAAGTCAAGCAGAGCCACAAGCTGCAGAGCATGACGATGTCACTTCACACGGTGCTGCTCCAGCTGACATAGAGGGTCAGCCCAGTGCCACGGATGAGCTCCGCGAGGTACTCAAATTGTTGAAGAGACCACCGCACGGAAATCACACCCGAGGTCTCTGCAACGACGGACTTGTCAGATACATGGTCTGGTTGCCAACACCAGAAGATGAAGTAACTCGCCAAGGTGTATACGATGCCCAGCCGTTATCTCCTAGGATGATCAAGCGGTGGCTTGACCGAAAGCCATGGAGCCAGGCAGTCGAGGATCGCTTCCGCGGAGTAGACGGGCGAAATGTTCCCAAAGAGTAAGCCGTACCTGGGTATCTCCATGCACTATACATTTTATTCAGTTTTGCTGATCGTCAGTGTTGTGTAGACAATGGCTAAATCCGCCTCCGGGGGTGTTGCCGTTCCCGGGAACGCTTAATGAGCGCATGGCTGCGATTAAGCAGAACCAGTTAGAACGGAAGGAACAACAGAAGGAACTCGAAGAGAAGATTGCGCGTGGAGAGATTGATAAGTCTGCCCTTGAAAAGCATTGTACAAGCTGGGACGTGATAAGTGACTATAATCTTGATCCACGCTAGGTCGGTTGATGAGCTCAGCATCAGCTTCTGCTGGGCAAAGAAGTTCGGGTGCTACAAGTTGTGCCTAGAATAGCAAAATCTACCTTGAGGTCATTCGTTCAAATCTTCGCCTAGAGATTCAGGCCTGACGACAGTGTGTTCTTCAAACAACTTTATGATGCAAATACAACTCGTTCAGAACTTACTTCCAGTGAGCCGACCCCCCAAACATCCAATAAGATGTGGTCGTACCTAGGTAGTCTCAAATAAAGATGCGAATAACAACAGCCAGAGCGAATGTCTCGTAGTCTTTAGAGAAAGTTGAGCAATAGGAAGATGGTGCATGAAAGTATTGGCAATGCCAGATCGGGAAGTGTCAAGACCGACGACGTCACCGCCCACTGGGCCAACCTGGACAGCCGCCACGACTTACAATCCTCCGATGAGAGTGACGGAAGACCAGATTCAAACATCCGGGGCGTGATGAGAAAATGAGAAAACCAGGGAGGTGTGTGCTTTGCATGTCGGCGGCTTCGCGCCGGCCGACTCCCGCTCCGGGACCCACTTAGCGTAGGCAGATTCACTTTCAGATCGATCCACAAGGTACACGACACCTTTTTCGATGCAAGCAGATCTCCACCTTCGACAACAACGCCCATCTCATCTTGGCGAGCTTAAGCGTATCTAGGCATGTACAAAGTGCAGGTGGTGTTGGCGACTCTCAACGCTACCTTCCCTGGGCAGGCCTCAGCCCACCTGGGCATATGAGATGACATCAGAGAACCTGAAATGGTTCACAGGTGGTTGGGAGCCTAAACTAGATCACTGAACAAAAGAGCACATACGCGTCGTGCAAGGAAGAAACTGAACAAATTTGCAGACTACACTAGGACAAGGCAAGGAATTTGGAAAATCTGGTGTCAACGTAGGCTCCAGGATGCTCAGTATTCCCCTGTATGAGGTGCATGTACCTGGATGTTGACGTGTGCAGCGGACGGAAAAGGATACTTCCAGACTGGTCTCAGATCTCCAAATCCCGGTACAATTGACTAGGTCCCTCGACGGCGCGGCGGAGAGTATACCGAAAGAAAAAGAATGGGGATTTCGCTGCGCGTTATGACCTAACGGGCGTTGTGGGTTCATTCCCGTGGGTTCAATGCCGAAAGAGCCTCGTGTATGTATGACAACATCGCAACATAGCGCAACATGTTGAGTCAAGCGTCGGAGTTCTTGAGGTGCGTTTCTGCGAGATGACAATGATGGACTTGGCTTTACGTAGTGGAGACTGGAGTCGCGTTTTGCATAAAGAGGAAGAGGCTCCCGGCTTGGAAAAAGCAGACACAGACACGAAAAGCTTCGACCTCATCTTCTGAGCTTCTAGTCATTCCATCAATCTGCAGCAATCATGCCCAGCTCTTCGCAACAACCTCTCCGCCAATCTGGCATCTATCATAACCTTCCCACCTTTGACTCGAGCGCGAGGGATCTCAAGGCCATAGTATGCGGAGCGACAGGAATCTCAGGCTTCAACACCATCCGCTCTCTCCTCGACACGCCCGACCGCTGGTCCAAGATCTACGCCCTATCCCGCTCGCCAATCTCCAAAGAGCTCCTCTCTTTCCTCACAGACGAGCAGCGCGCCCGCCTTCAGCACATCTCCATCGATCTCAGCTCTCCCAGTGATGAGATCGCCAAATCGCTCAAAGAAGCGGGCGCGGAAGCCGACTACGTCTTCTACTACGCCTATCTCCCTCCCGGCAACGGAAAAAGCGACATGGACCCCAGTTCCGCCGAAGCTCTAATCGAAGCCAACGTGCCCCCCTTCAAAAACTTCCTCGGCGCCCTCCCAATCGCTAACATCAAGCCCAAGCGCTTCTTGCTACAAACTGGAGGCAAGAACTACGGCATGCACATCGGCCGTGGCCGCAACCCCATCGTCGAATCAGACCCCCAGCCCAAACACCTCAGCCCAAACTTCTACTACCACCAAGAAGACCTACTCTTCAAGTTCTGCGAGCAACACCCAGAGACAGACTGGAACATCATCATGCCCGCAGCCGTCATCGGCGCCGTGCAAAGCGCAGCCATGAACACCTTTCTTGCATACGGCGTGTATGCCGCTGTCCAAGCGTATAGGAAACAACCTCTTCAGTACCCCTCAGACTTCCACAGCTGGCAATCCGGATACACGCATTCCACCGCGCGTCTAACCGGGTACCTGAGTGAATGGGCGGTGTTGGAGGACTCAGCCAAAAACCAGCGCTTCAACGCTCAAGACGGCGAGCTCATCAGCTGGGACCGATTCTGGAACGAGCTTGCCCGTTGGTTCGGCGTCGACACTGTGCTTGGCCCTGAGGAGGACGAGTCGAAATACGAGAGCAAGTACTTTGCTGGCGGTAAGGACTGCCCACTTGGCTACGGTCCCCCCATTGAGCTCAAACTGGCACACTCGCTGTGTAAATGGGCGGAGGACCCTGCGGTGCCGAAGGCCTGGGAGGAGATGATGGAGCAGTCGAACGGGCAGCTGACGGTCAACATCCCGGAGAAGGACAAGCAGACGTTGGTTATGGCGGACTTTTCTTTTAGCTATCTGGGTACGCTGTCTGGCACTAAGGTGCGCAAGTTTGGGTTCAGTGGGTTTGTTGATACTATCGAGAGTGTATTTGAGACGTATCAGGATATGGCGAAGCTGGGTATGTTGCCGCCTATGAAGGTCGATTCTGCGAGGGGGCTTGTGTAGGGGTAGTTGGTGGCTGTTTCTTGTCACTGTGGCTCCTCGCTCATCACTAACAATCCTTTGAAAAAGTATTCTTATATAGAATCCGTACATACTATACATCAATGGCCATGCTAGATGCAAATCTACATCAAATCCTTCACGCGCTCTTCGCTCTCCCTGATCCACTGATCCAGCAGCTGCCTATTCCTCGGCTTGAACCCGACTTTGAAGTACTTTGGTTCAAGCGTCAAACTGGTTGGAATATCATTCGCATCAAGGCAGTCCATGATCGCCTCATCCCGCGGGTCCACCGGTGGCGTAAACTTGAAAGCCGAGATCAACCTCACAAAAGCAGTAAACAGCTCGCGGTTAGCGAGATGCGAACCAACGCACATACGCGAGCCGGCACCATATCCATAATGTGGTGTTCCCGCACCATCTGGAACGTCGAGGTAGCGCTCTGGATCGAATTTCTCCGGGTTCTTGAAGTGCTCTGCGTCGTAGTCGGCGGCGTATGCATTCATGTAGAAGGTCGTTCCCGCTGGGATGTTGACGCCGTTCCATTCGATGTCCTTGATCGAGACCCTGGGTAGGCAGATGGGAATGACGGTCCAGTATCGCAGTATTTCTTTGTATAAAGCGGTGATGTACGGGATCTTCTCCTCGTGGAGACAACGCTCCCAGGCATCGTTATTGGGGTATACTTTCATGATCTCATCGTATGCGCGTTGTTGAATCTTCTGACCTTCGGGGGTTGCGAGTTGTGCGATGCCCATGATGAGGTTCCCTGGTACGGTATCAAGACCTGCCGATACCATGGTCAAGCAGATTGACTTGATCTCGGCTGTCGTGTGTTAGTGCGAAAAAGAATGAGGGGAAAAGCTCTCAACATACCTCTGTTCAGCTTCGCATCTGGGTCCTTCATGATATTGCCAGTGATGCAAGGCTTATCCGTACCCTTCTCAATCTTCTCGGTCAGTGTGTTGAGAAGCTTGTCCATGTACACATCTCGCCTCTTTCGGAAGCTGTTCGCCTCGTTGCTCTGGCTGGGGAAGAGTCTCAAGAGTGGCACATAGTCTTGCCAGTTGTTGCTTGTCGATCTGAAGTTTCCTACACCACGCTCAACCTCCACGATCTCCTTCAGCAGAGGCGCGTCCTTGTTTCCGTCTATCCTGTACCCGTAGTTGAGCGTCAAACTGGTGTTCAACGCATATCGCTGCCAGTATGGTCGTGGGTCGAGATCCAGCTCTCCACCCTTGCTATCGTACAGTAGTTCTTTTATTGAGACTGTGGATTCGAGATCGATGAGTGGCATGTAGGATTGTACAGCAGGACGGTTGAGCGCCGTGGCAGCGGCCTTGCGACGGTTCTTCAGGGACTCATCCCACGGTGAAGTACCGATGGTGAAACCTTGGGAAGAAGACACCACTTTGTGGAACGTGTGGAGCATAGGTCGAGAGATCATCGCTGACTGGTTTGTGATCCAGAGATGGCGGACGGAATCGAACGAGTTCGCGAATACGATCCTCTAGATACTCGTGTTAGCATTGACGCTTACAAAAGTATGCTGACTCCATGCGAGATCCAAACTTACCCTGTTTCCCATCCTCACTTGAAAGACCGGGCCATACTTCTTCGCCCACCCTTGCGCTACTTTCGCATGGTTCGTACCAAGCTCGTGCAAGCTTCCAAAAAGAGGTAGGCCAGGGACTTCTGGCAGTCCCTTAATATGTGGTGTATCAGTTCCATAGAGCAATCTATACAGGAAGAACCCCAAGACAGCAACGCCGGCGATGTAGATGGGGATAGTCATTTTCTCGACAAGACTCGAGGTCGATGAGAAGACGTGAGAGAAATGAGAGAGGAAAGTTCGTAACCCTAGAGCAAGAGCGAAATCTAAACAGGTCGATAGCACTTATAGCAGTGAGAGAAGTCCGATGCCATGCGCTTTCTCTTAGGAGGAGATCCCTAGCTGGACACGCCGTTCCGAGGTCAAGCTCAGCATGATTAGCCTCCGTTTGACTGGCCACGAAGGATCCGAGCTTTGGTTTCGATGGAGTAAGCCCATCGCTGCGGGGCATCCGCCGCCTGTGTCATGGTGCGCGCAGAAGCGTATGTTGATGCAGCGGAATAAAGCCGCGAATTGATGGTGTTGATGCTAGTGTCAGGGTGCGGAGACGGGCGCGTTGTGGAGACGGCTAACTGCTTCGGGAACAGATGATGGGCACGACAAGCTTTCAGTGGGATGATGGAGCTCTTTGGCACTCACATCGAACTCTGATAGCGGAAAGAGCCTCAAAATTATATGCCAGCGGTATAGGTAGTATTGTCGGCCTCTTGCGCGGCCCCTGCCAATCTGCGACCCTAAACGCGCTGAAATCCGATAGGCTCATCCATCTCAGGTTCTCACCGGATGCTTCAGCTTCAAACTTTGCACTAAAGCATCTATCTGCAAGAACATGCGGATCTCGGACTGCGTCATTTTGTGACTTCTGCCGCATAGTGGATAGGCTTCCAAAAATTGTAGCAGCGGAATAATTCCTTGTGCACAGGATCAGGTATCGTACTCAGCACATGTTTGTACTGCTGGTAGCTCCGCTCGCACAAAGCTCGGAGATGATGAGCCTTTGATTCTTGAGACCTTTCAACGACTATCAGAGCGTTCAAGCAAAGCTCAACTTCAGCGCAGGCTCAATGCGACCAACACACTCTCCAAAGCCAACCAAAGCCTCCTCGTCTGACCCGCATACTCCTCGAATAGTGATCTCGTCCCCATCCTCCAAGAAAGTCCTCTTCTCGCCACCTTCTAGAGCTATAGTCTCCTTCCCGTTGTTGCTTTGCTCTAGAAAACTTCCGTACTCGGCTGGGGAGTTTCCACTTATGGTGCCAGAGCCCAGCAGGTCACCCGGTTGGAACGGACATCCGGTGATGGTGTGGTGTGTCAGCATCTGCGGGAATGACCAGAGCAGATTTCGTGCATTTACTTTCGATACCGTTGTTTTATTGCCGGTCGACGCTGAAGACGATTAGTACTTGGCAATGAAGGTGATGCGCAGATGTACATACTCTTGACATCGACTTCGAGGTTAATGTCGTATACGCTCTTCGCGTCCTTCTCCTTCAAGTAGGGCAGCACTTCCGCATCATTCTCCAACCCCTTCGTCTTGAACGGCTCCAGTGCATCTGCGAGTACAACCCAAGTGCTGATTGTGGTGCCAAAGTTCTTCGCATTGAATGGCCCCAGAGGTACGTATTCCCAAGCTTGAATGTCTCTCGCAGACCAGTCGTTCATGAGCACAACACCGAAAAGATTCTCCTCGGCGTTCTCGATTGGGATTGGCACTCCCTGCTCATTTGACCCGCAGACAAAAGCACCTAGCTCCAGCTCAATGTCCAGCTTCTTACATGGGCTAAATGTAGGCGCCTTCTTTTCTGCGGTAGGATCGAGTAATATCTGACCATTGGGCCGCCGGATAGGTGTTCCTGATGGGACTACTGAAGATGCTCGACCATGATAACCGACTGGAAGATGTTTGTAGTTTGGTTGCAGTGCGTTCTGAGGTCCTCTGAAGATGACGCCGCAGTTGTAAGCATGGTTCATCCCCGCAAAGAAATCAGTGTAGTCGCCAATCTTGAATGGCAGATGTGCTTTGATTTCCTTGAGCGGTATCAAGGCTTGCTTTTGGAGTGCCGCATTGTTCTTCAGAACATCGGGGTATGTTGTGTCGACCGAGAAAACGCTTTGTATGTACTTTCGGACCACAGAGTGTATTGGGCGGCCAAGTGCTGCAAACGCGTTCAGCGATGGTTGGGAGAAGACAGCTTGGTGTGGCTGTATCGTGGAGAGACCGGAGAAGCCATTGTTTGCAGCAAAGACTTGAAGATCTAGTGCGTGATCTCCAATGGCGACTGCCAGCCGCGGTGACTGAGATGACGCTGTCGAGATGACACCGAACGGGATGTTGGCTAGTGAGAAGTTTGAGCCACGAGGTATGTTGAACCAAGACCGCAGCGAAGCCATGATTGATGTCTGTACGCAATAATTCTTGCTACACGAGTATACCTGTCAGGGTCAACGGGAGGACTACGGAAACTTGCAGGCTCGGATTTTTGGCCCCGTAGTCTCAATCCTTGAGCCATGGTGCAGATGGTGCTTGATGGATTACCGGCTTGTGACGGATGAGGCGGGCTCGGAAAGATTCCGTCAGTTGCCAACAGACAGGGGTCATGCGCTCTCCGCCTGTGGGGTAAGCCGACGCGCGCGCTCTCTTTCTTCTCCGCTTTGCTGCTGCGACGCGACAAACGACGGAATCTGAAGCCGCCCATTACCGCACTTCGCGACTTCGCGCCTGCGTGATGGCCGAGCCACAGCTTGCCACGGCTACTGCGATGCTGCATGCCCGCAACATCCGCGCACGGTATATACGCATCTGGTGCCGTACGCGCGTGTTTGATTGTTGTCCACTGTTGTTTCTACAGAGGCTCTTCTCTGGTTGATTGATCTTCTACACACTAACGTCACGATGCCGTCTACTCAGTTTGCTTTCAAGGAGAAATACCGATACCAGAATGGCTTCAACTCTTACCATGAGTATGGGCGCGACTGCCCTGCTGTGACGACATACACTAACAATCTCCAGGACGGAAGCAGTAGAAGGCGCGCTTCCAATTGGCGCAAACTCGCCTCAGAAACCCCCATATGGTCTCTACGCCGAGAAGCTCTCAGGTACCGCCTTCACAGCCCCGCGACACGAGAACCAGCAAACATGGCTTTACCGCATCCTGCCCTCCTGCGGACACAGCAACTTCGAGCCTCGCGAGTCCAAGACGTTCAACACAAACCCCGAGAACAAGCCGTGGGAGAAGATACACTACATCCCAAACCAGCTACGATGGGATCCCTTCGATCTCGACGAGACGGTAGACTGGGTGCACTCACTCCATCTAGTGGCGGGTGCGGGTGACCCTACAATGAAGTCAGGCGTCGGATACTTTATCTATGCCGCAGGAAAGGACATGGAAGCCAACGAGGCATTCTACTCGGCTGACGGCGACTTCTTGATTGTGGCACAACACGGCGTGCTCGATATCCAGACGGAACTGGGGCGCCTCGTTGTGCGTCCGAATGAGATTTGCGTCATACCGCGAGGCATTCGGTACCGTGTCACCTTACCAGAAGGCCCGGTGCGAGGCTACATTTTGGAGTTATACCAGGGCCATTTCACGCTTCCTGAGCTGGGACCCATTGGCTCCAACTGCCTCGCAAACGCGCGAGACTTCCAGGCGCCAGTGGCCGACTTCGACGAAGACACCGAAACCGAATGGAACATCCTCGCCAAGTTTGCCGGACACCTCTACGCTGCGAAGCAGAGGCATACACCATTCGACGTGGTTGCATGGCATGGACTCTATTACCCGTACAAGTACGATCTTGGACGCTTCAACACCATAGGCTCTATCTCATTCGACCATCCAGACCCGTCCATATTCACCGTACTCACTGCACCAACAGACCGGCCAGGTACCGCAGTAGCTGACTTTGTCATCTTCCCACCGCGATGGTTAGTGGCTGAGAACACCTTCCGACCGCCATGGTACCACCGCAACACTATGTCCGAGTTCATGGGACTCATCGGTGGTCAATACGATGCGAAGACCGGTGGAGGCTTCCAACCGGCTGGTGCTTCTCTGCACAACGTCATGTCTGGCCATGGACCCGATGCTGCGACTCACGAGAAGGCATCCAATGTCGACCTACAGCCCAACAAGGTCGGCGAGGGCAGCATGGCCTTCATGTTCGAAAGCTGCCTCATGATTGGCGTAACAGATTGGGGCCTCACAAAGTGCCAGAAGATACAAGAGGGCTACAACGCAGAGAGCTGGGAGCCACTGAAGCCGCATTTCAAGAGGCCTGGCCCTAAGAAGATTGACAATGGTGTCTCGCCACTAGTGGCGGGAACTGAGGGTGATAAAGGCCAAGTGCCTCACTACACCTGAACGCGAAGAGATCGGGATGTTGTACTTTTAGCGTTTGGCCCGAGTTGGCCACTTCGGTGATATTCGGTGCTTACGACCAGGCTTACTGCATTGGTATCAGTAGGATGGCGCGTCGCGATCAACAGGGTGTCGTTTCAATGCCCCGCAGCGTGGGTTTGAACAAGACAGTGAACTATGAGCATGAATATGAGCACCATGGATCTACCGTGTGAACTACCAAATAATGCCAGAGTCTGCTACTGATCCTCCCCTTACCCTATCGCATTAAATCCTCCGTGACACGTACTAGCAGTGCTGTCGGGCGGTGAGTTGTCTTGGTGCAGTAAAGTGCCGATGTGGAGCAAAGTCTAAGGGTCCACTAGCGTCAACAACTGCTAGAGCGCGGGGCTATCTCTCCCACTTTTCTCCCTCGACATTTGTTTCTTCATCCTCCCTTCACCCCTCTCCCTCTCCATACCCCCAATACATCACATCAAACCGCCAGAATGTCTGCCCCCGCCCACAAGTTCAAGGTTGCCGACATCAGTCTTGCGGCGTTCGGTCGCCGCGAGATTGAGCTCGCCGAGAACGAGATGCCTGGTCTGATGGAGACTCGCCGCAAGTACGCTGAGGACCAGCCATTGAAGGGCGCCCGCATTGCTGGATGTCTTCACATGAGTATGTCTATCCTTTTATCACTACAGTTACAATGCTAACCCACCCCAGCCATCCAGACTGCTGTTCTCATCGAGACCCTCAAGTCCCTCGGTGCTGAGCTCACCTGGACCTCGTGCAACATCTTCTCCACCCAGGACCACGCTGCCGCCGCCATTGCCGCCGCCGGCGTACCTGTCTTCGCCTGGAAGGGCGAGACCGAGGAGGAATACGAGTGGTGCCTCGAGCAGCAGCTCACAGCTTTCAAGGACGGCAAGAGCCTGAACTTGATCCTCGACGACGGTGGTGACCTCACTGCTCTCGTCCACAAGAAGTACCCTGAGATGCTCAAGGACTGCTACGGTGTCTCTGAGGAGACCACCACCGGTGTCCACCACCTCTACCGCATGCTGAAGGGCAAGGGTCTCCTCGTCCCTGCCATCAACGTCAACGACTCCGTCACCAAGTCCAAGTTCGACAACTTGTACGGTTGCCGTGAGTCGCTCGTCGATGGTATCAAGCGTGCCACCGACGTCATGATTGCTGGCAAGGTCGCCGTCGTTGCCGGTTTCGGTGATGTCGGTAAGGGTTGCGCCCAGGCTCTCCACAGCATGGGTGCCCGTGTCATCGTCACCGAGATCGACCCCATCAACGCCCTCCAGGCTGCCGTTTCCGGCTTCCAGGTTACCACCATGGAGAAGGCTGCTTCTCAGGGTCAGATCTTCGTCACCACCACTGGTTGCCGTGACATCCTGACTGGTGTCCACTTCGAGGCTATGCCCAACGACGCCATTGTTTGCAACATCGGTCACTTCGATATCGAAATCGACGTTGCGTGGCTCAAGAAGAACGCCAAGTCCGTCACCAGCATCAAGCCCCAGGTCGACCGCTACCTCATGAACAACGGCCGCTACATCATCCTCCTCGCCGAGGGTCGTCTCGTCAACTTGGGATGCGCTACTGGTCACTCTTCCTTCGTCATGTCCTGCTCTTTCACCAACCAGGTCCTTGCCCAGATCATGCTGTACAAGGCCTCTGATGAGGAGTTCGGCAACAAGTACATCGAGTTCGGCAAGACCGGTAAGCTCGATGTCGGTGTCTACGTTCTGCCCAAGATTCTTGACGAGCAGGTCGCTCTTCTCCACTTGGCGCACGTCAACGTTGAGCTCTCCAAGCTCAGCGATGTCCAGGCCGAGTACCTTGGTCTCCCTGTCGAGGGTCCTTTCAAGAGCGACATCTACCGTTACTAGATTTCTTAATGTCCAGCGTTTGGGAAGTTTCAACACGACGTTATGAACTTCGATGATACCACTTCGAAAAGTTGTCTGTCTTCAACGGCATAGCATCGAGCCTGGGGCTCGGCGGGGTTTGGTCGTTCAAAAGGCGTTGTTTGCAATCATCTACTTGACCCTTCAACCATGGTCAATACCGATGATGATACCCTATGTAAGAGTGCGATAAGGATGAGATAGACTGCGTTCTCCACGCAGCATAAGAATAGTAACAGGCCACCGATCTTGACGGTGGACTGAAGAATGAACAATAACGGCGGGCCTCCATACCCGCCTCAACAAACACTTCGTCGATCCATGACTTCTCCCGTGATCAACGTACAGCTACATAAACTTTCGCCACGAACACAGGCATACTCTCATCGGGCCTCACACGAAGATGCAGGAAGTACTCCTTGCGTCTATTCTGACATGTTGACGTCTGCAGTGCCCAAACGTTATTCGTTCTCGCGTCCTCCACATCCATGCCGTATCGCACGCATACGTCAAACGCAACAGACGATCGTACACACTCACAACGTTGCCCAACATTCCAGCAAAGAAACCACGAGACGCATGTTCCGCCGCTAACATCGGATCGGACATGTCGCTGCATGCACGCCACATCAGATACTTCCCGCTCAGCATACGCAGTACGCAGTGTGTATGATGCAGTAACAGTGGACGCAAGGAAGTCACAGCAGCAAAGAATGTGTCAGGTATGCTCCTGCAATGTAATGTACGGACGGACGACACGTTGCTATGCGTAGGCATGGCGGGCCGATGTAGCTTTAATCCCATGCATTGCATAGTCTGACAAGGTGAATATGTGGCGCGAGGAAAGTTAGGTTTGGTACATCGGGTTGAGAAGTAAGTTTTTCCTTGCTGTGATGACGAGTTAGGTGTTGGTTGCTATGGCGTTTCCCGTGCTCTTCATGTGGGAAGACCGAAATATCATGTCGGAATGTAGTACGATGAAGGGTTTCTCCGTTCGTGACGGCGGGCTGCATTGGGGTTCGGTGGTATACGACTCTTTTGGTCGAGGAAGCGAGGCCTTTTGCTCGTGCTTCTCAAGACTACATGAGCAATTCATCCCCATTCCATCCTATTCCACATCTCCCATCCCCATACAAGCAAGGCAGACCTAACCCTCCACATCATAAACCGACAAGTCCAACTACCCCAACATCTCACAAAACCAAACAGACAACAACACCCCTGCCCCAACCCCGTTCCACAACATGCTCCGCCTCCGCCTCGCCCCTGCCTGCAGAACCGGGTATCTGGAACCACGACATGGCGATTTCGAGGCTGAGCAACTTGAAACGTTAGACTCGTCCTCTCCAGCCTCGTAACATGTTGTGCGTGTGTGGGGAAAGAAAGGGAAGCTACAGCGTGGTTACACGGGGTTCTTGCATATCCAATATAGATCGGAGGGAAGTCTTGGTGAGATAGATATGGCTTGGGGGGATCCTGGCTTATTCAACAGGAACACGACGTTTTTGGTGACATGTGGGGTTGAGACATGCGGAAAGTTTATGACGCCACGAGAGAACTGCGTGGTGACATCTGAGGCTGATTTCGGTACCGTAGAATAAAGGGTGTGGAGATGGGACAGGGGTTGGCGAGAACTGTAATGCTGATGCGATGCGCGTAGTTTGGAATTGCGAACAAATGTACGTACTGAGGAAAGATATTACAATTTAATGCGGACCTAGATTATCCGCCTGCTGTCTGCTACTACTACTGCTATACAAAGCATATGTACCTTCCTGACCCATAGATTATCTTGGAGAAAAAACAATGTAACTGAAAATGCCCTATGATGCCAACGCTTGCTATGGGATGGAGAACATCTGCCTTAGTCTCCATGGTGGGTGATGATGAACCAAAGTAGAGAGGTATCAAGAACAGTAGGAAACGATGAGCCAGCCGGTGCTTTTCATCGGCGGTAATGATGCCGCGATCGGAATATCAAGAGTGAATAGGGAAACGCCACCAAAATTCGAGAAACGGAACGCCGGATGTAGCGAGTGCCTTAGCGGAGACCGATAACGCTCTGGGTGTTGTCAGTAAAAGCTGTGGTCATCCGTTAGGGTAAACATACCATTTCCAGCGTCCAGACCCTCCTTATCCACACCTTGAGCTTGCCTTCGACACCTCTGACATTGTCAAGCTCGACACCTTCCCACCAGCAGCGGCGAGCGGGTTTCCTCCAGAAGAGGAGCAGCTTCTGCGCCATTCCGACAGCGTTGCTGTTAGCAAGGTCGTTGCCCTTAATGTCTGTCCTCAGGCGTGCAAGCGCGATGCTGCAGATGACGGCTTTGTTGGGCTCGCCGGCGCGGTGACCCCATCGGTCGTCGTGGTTGAAGCCACTGCGTGCTGTTAGCTGCTGTTCTCTCATTTGCAGGTGGTATGCTCACCCTGCAGTCAACATCTCGATCAGGTGCTGCTCGGTCGTTCCTGGCTCTTCGCTCTTCCTGAGACCAGAGAAAATGCCATCTTGTCTCAACAATGCTTCGCCTGCAGCCCGCTTGACTTCGATCATCTCGGGCTGAGTGATGTCGCGATGCGGTGGGATAGCGTAGAAGTCGAGATCCTCTCGCAGCACAATTATACCAGCGCGGTCCTGGAGCATATCCCTGGCAGAGCCATGCATGGGCTCAATGGGTACAGCCTCGGCAGCATGTTCGGCAGCGGTCGGGGATGGAGGCGATGCGGGAATGGTCTGGGCTACAGTGCGGAAGAACTCCAGCATGTACTGTAGGGAGTTTGGGTCGTACTGTGAAGGGTAGATATTGTCAGATAAGTATAATGCGGGGTTGGAGAGGTGGTACAAGATCTTAGCTACTGGGGTCGAGGGAAGGGGTGAGGAAGAAGAAATGGGGTTACCAACGTCGACTGGGTATACGTCTCCATCGTGGTAGGAGTTCATGTGCCCATCAGGGAGTAGGCCATTGGGAAAGAGGGAAAGGAGGACGAATTCGGGAAGGGTTAGAAGTTCGTCTCGCGATAGAGTGAATCGCGTGCCCCTAGGATTCGGGTTAGCCTTGGTGTCGCGTGTGACGATGCATTTCCGTACCTCAGTTCCAGAGTGATATTCTCGTCTGATCCACCCAGGGTGTTGATGGGCGGTCCTGCATTTGTTGTTTGCGACACCTGAGTAATGATACTCGCGGGACCTCCTGCGGATGCCATTACGTACGTAAAGGACTCGAGTGGGCTGGATCCTTCGCTGTAGGGTGGCGGCGGCTCTCCGTCGTCGAGGTCTTTGCTACTGGAGCCTTCCTTGGTGTCGGAAGGGAGCGCGGCTTTGGTGGCAGCTACAGCAGCAGCGGACGAGGATGACTCGGTAAAGGCAGGCGCAGATGTGAATGCGGGAGGTGATTCGTCTTCGGCGGTTTCACCGAGCTTGTCGCGTTCCTCAGCGTCGTCGGGCGGGAAGAAGAGGGAGGAGAAGGGAGGTGGGTAGGGTGATTCGCCGGCTGTTGTCGTCAATGCGGCGGTGCTGCTGGCGGGAGCGGTGACGGCGTAGCGTGGACGGGAGGAATCGCGCTGGGTGGGATTCGGAGGCAAAGGAGTGACTACGGACAAGCCGTCTGTACTGGAAGTCTGCGTGCGCGACAAGGTGCCGGTGGTTGTGTATTGGACAGGACCGGATGATGAGCTCGAAGGGGCAAGCGCGCTAGTAGCCGCTGTCAATTAAACCTGAGCGCGTGGGCACCACGAGGCAGCTACGCGCATTAGGTGGAGCAGCGGTCGAGGTGAAAGGGACGCAAATGTTTGCTTGCTGTGCTGGGCGGGAGGTGTTGTGCGTGTGATGAGGTGCCAGTGCCGCGATGGACGCGGAGTGGTTAATCAGTCCAGGCGTCCGCTTTGACCCTAGCGTGCTTTCCAACTTTCGAGCAGAAGAGCAGGCACAACCTCGGAATGCGATGTGATATCCTTCGCATCACGGTAGCTGCGGCATACATGTAGATCATTCTTGTTAGAACATAATGAGTGTATTATACAGATCTAGCTTTGTCAGAACGGGATAGTATATCATCACTATCACCTGTTCTATATCCTAACCCAATCTAGTGCTTCGCTACAACTCCCGCCTCGTTCGCTTGCGCTGTGATGCGGCGCTTGTAATCTTTGACGGTTCCATCGAAGTGCTCGATCGTTCCGTTGTCACACACCCACAAGCTTGTGCATACGTTCTGCAGCATAGTGACATCGTGACTGACCATGAGTACACCACCCTGGAACTTGTTCAGTGCTTCCGAAAGCGCGTCCATGGCCTCGATGTCCAAGTGGTTAGACGGCTCGTCAAGCACGAGAATGTGCGGGTTCTGCAGCGCTAGGCATGCAAAGGCAACACGCGATTTCTGACCTCCTGACAGCAGTTCCATCTTCTGTAATCCAGTCATACCCGTAATGCCAAAGGCACCAAGGTGACGACGGTATTCTTCATCTGCCCTTCCGTGGTACGTCTTCGACATGAATCCGACAGCGCTGTCGTTCAGGTCCAAAGCATCAACGTGATGTTGTGCGAAGAAGCCTACTCGTAAGCGTGGGTTTTGCGAGATGAGACCCGTGGTAGGTGAAAGTGCGCCGATGAGCAGCTTCAAAGCTGTCGTCTTACCAGCACCGTTGGGACCAACGATACCAATACGTGAGTCGAGTTGCACATCGAGGTCGACGTTCTTGAGCAGGATCTTGTCGGGCGTGTACCCAAAGGTAACACCACTCATCTGAATGATAGGAGGTGACATCTTCTCCACCTCTGGGAACTTGAAGTGCACCGAGTATGCTGCTTCTGGTGGAGTGAGGACTGGCATTTTCTCCAGCTTCTTGATCCTAGACTGGGCCTCAGAGGACTTGGCAGCATTGTATCGGAACTTGTCGATGAAAGCTTGCAAATGCGCGCGCTCGGCCATCTGCTTCTCGTACTCACGCACTGCTGTCTTGCGGCGCTCTTCTTTGGTAGCGTAGAAGGAGTCGAAGTTGCCACCCTTGTAGTAGTCGAGTCGCTCAGAGTGTTGATGAATGATATCAGTTGCCACTTCGTTGAGGAAAGCTCGGTCGTGAGATACGACAAGTACTGTGCTTGGGTAGCCCTGGAGATAGTTCGCCAAGAAGGTAATAGAGGGGACGTCCAACATGTTCGACGGCTCGTCAAGCAGTAGCAGATCAGGTTCACAGAACAGCGCACGTGCAAGTGCCAGACGCATCCTCCACCCTCCAGAGAATGTCTTGGTCGCAAACTGCTGTCGTTCTTGTGAGAAACCAAGACCTGCGAGGATACTTGCTGCTCGAGATTCTGCCTTGTCAGACTCCATCTCGGCGAGCTTGCCATGAATGTCGCTCAGAGTGGTGTCTAGACCTTCACGCTGAGTGTCTAGCCTGGCAGCATCTGCGGAGGTGTCGGCCATCTTAGCACGCTCCTCTTCAAGCTCAGCTAGCTCCTTGCTAATCTTCTCTTGCTCCCGAAGGAGATGCTTGCGCCATACATCGGCGTCCAAGACAGCCTGCAGTGCGGGTGTGTCATCACCAGTAATCTGATGCAGTCAGTCATTGGACTTGCGTAGTGCATGAAGTGACTTACCTCCTGTTCCACGTGAAGAATCGAAATGTGCGTAGGAATAGCGACCTCACGGCGGGCGAGGGCGCGAAGCAAGGTGGATTTACCAATACCGTTTTGACCTACCAGACCGTATCTGCGGCCATATGCGAGTGTCAGGGAACTATCTGTAAGGATGCGTAATCCAGGCATAGAAATGTCAAAGCTATCGATCTTGATATCTTTGCTCTTGTTGTTGGCCTCGCCCAGCTGCAGCGGGTTGACAGCCATGTAGAATTCTTCATAGCTTTGTGCCTCGTTGGGCTCATTGAGAAGTCGAGAAGCTTCATATTCGACATTCTTGAATTCCTTGCGGTCCTGCTTCGCACGGAGCTTGCGTTCGGCCTTTTCAAGTTTCTTGCGATCGACCCTGGATTCAACTTTACGTGTGTTGGCAGATTCTAGGTCGACGGCGCCGCCAGCAAGACCTAGCGTGGAGGAGATGTTCCTGGACGAGCCCACGTGGATAGCCTGGTCGAGCTTCTTGGCTGATGGTGCCATCTGGCGCCGCTCACTGTCTGTGCCATTGGCGGCGTTCAGGCGGGAAATGAATTTTTCCACAAGGTTCTGGATGCTCGTCTCATTCTGAGGTGAGAGATCTCCGGACGCTGATAAGAGCAGAGCGCTCACGGTGGCAGCGGCCTCCTCAAGTGGGGAGGGGGCATTTGGGTCAGTGTCGGAAGTGAACTGGTTGGCAGCATGGGTCAGGTACCCGGCCGAGTACTCTGACAGAACAGGGTCGATGTTCGGGATTTGGGTTCTGATTTCGGATTCCATGGTGGCGGGTGACGAAGTCGATGTCGGCCGCAGTCAATGTCACCGTGGCGCTGGCGAGGTCGGCGAGCGGGCAATCCTATCTCGTGCGTTCACGTAGTCAGCGTGTAATAGCGGGGCAGCGGTGGTCTCTGCTTCGTGCGGTGCTACGGCTGCTTGTCCAAGGCAGAGAACATTTTGACGTGGGATGCCAAATGTGGCGTGGCGGCGGTTCTGGAAGGAGCGGGCGGCGGCCAATCAGGGCGTCGACGCCGACAGCCCATCAAACATGACAACCCATTGCTGCGCCTGTGGACTGGCACAGATGGCGGATCTGCACCACGCGTCTGGAGGCGCTCTAGCAATGATGTGCTCCTAGGATTGTCCCGGTTGCTCGCATCTCTGTGTTCCCGCGGGTCAGCACGCATCGCACAGTCACGTCAAGCTCTGCACGCACAGCTCGCCCAGCAAGCCGTCTGCCAGATGGACTCCAACGTGCGCCCACTATTCCTAGAGTGAGGGGCACAACGGTCTCGATAGTCTGCAAAAAGCCTCTGGAGTTCGTAGCGGCCCTGGCAGTCATCTTTCAGCTGGCTTAGGTCGGGCACGGAGCCGCCTTGGCTACCCGGCATGCAACATGTGATGTAGCCTTGTCAATTGGCTTTTGAAAATTTACGGACAGAACAACGCATGCCTAGGAGTACAGCCATGGCAGGTAGAACACGCAGCATGCGGGCTTTAACGGCGGAGATATATCCCGGGGCGCTGAATTCGCTGCCTCAGATACACGGATTCCGTCCTATCCTCAACCCATGCTCCCGCTTCTCACCACTTCTCCGCTCTGTGGCTGACGTGCTGTGCGTTTCGGCTATCAAGGATCTCAATCACGAGCAGCTTTCCTACCAGAGTAATCGATGCCAGATGGAGCCGATTCAACAAATATCTACCACGCCATGCTCGTAGGTACCAAGGTCCTTCTGCCGTTGACTGTACCGAATGCTAGGCGCGAGGTAACATGCGATGGCTCCGTGGCTGCACAGTCTAAAGCACGCCTTCGCTACCACCGATGGACTACATAAGCCGGTTGACACTTGCGTACGCCGCGATCAGCAAACATCTCCACTTGGCTACAGGGGTCTCTCCAGGCAGTTCAGCGGCCGGCTGCCAATCACCGTGTGCTGTGACGGGCGCCCGGGATGCTATCTGGTACACTATATTTGGGTAGCTCTGACGGCAGAGGGGTTCTTCCAGCCTCTCTGCGCCATGTCCCTGATTGTTGTTGATTGTTACTCGGCGCTAGAGCTCGCCCGAGACAGATGGGCGCAACGTCGTGGTACGGCCAACTGGGCACCGCAGCGGGCCCTCAGTGCCTGCCCAAGGAGTTGCTGCCTCGGGCTCGTCGCATGCAGCATAGGTTGATGAGATTGACTTTACTCGCAGCGTGGAGCTATGACGGAGCAAAGTGAGGCATGGGGTCTGTGTACCTCCGTGTTATGTTTCGAGTCGAGCTGCCGCTATCAGCCCTCATCGGCGACATCTCGCTAATCCCAAGAGAGCCGGGTAGCCCTGTACGTAGATCCCAGAAGCAACAAGCAGTGGATTCTTCAGTCGTCCGCTCGCTCCTCGTCGAGCTCCACCTCTCTGCTTCAGCCCGTCGTGGTGCTTGTGCCGTCCATCCTTTGCTGCGCTCCGGAATGCAGTACGCCTGCTCCAGCACCTGATTGAGCCCCTCTCCTCCCACCGTCTATACTCGTGCAGCTTGCGATCCCTGGTTCACCGGCACCCTGACATGCCATAATGCTCGACAAGTCGTCACAAGCGCCTCGACGAGTGACCTTTCCCCGGCGGCTTGGTTTCCAACGAGAATGAAAACTGTTCCAACGGTAATTACCCTGCATTTCTCTATCTCATAGTCCGTGGATCTTGTGTACGCGCTGCAGCTGCCCTTGATTTGTTTTGATATGTCTCGATCGCCGACGCCGCGTCTGCGTCTACTTCCGAGAGCGGCTACACCACGACTGTCTCACCTCGATATACCTCTCTTATAAGATGTCGTACTAGGCGCCATGACTGACGGACCCTTGTGATACAGCTCTGTGCCACTGCCGCTGTCGTTGGTACATCCTCTGTCGGCCTGGCCTTTGGACGGGAGGCCCCCTTCGACCCGTCGCACCCCAATAGAAAAAAGGCCACACCAGCATACGAGCCGAGTCTTAATCCCATGTCGACCGCTGCCATGACCACGACCGCGCCTCCCTTTAGCGGCCCCGTACCCGTCGTTCCTGCCTCGCGCATGCCGTTTGCGACTCGACTCAGTCAGGACGGCCGTTCACAGCTGCGGATCGTGAGGAGGAAGACGAGCGACGACGCGGCGCTGCAGTTGCCGACGAGTGCGACGAGCGCAAACTACCCCTCCAGTGACCAGAGTGTGTCCGACGTAGACACGGCCAGATACGTGCCGTCACGGCGAGCCTCGTGGATCAAACGTCTCTCCTCCATATCCAACTCGTCGAGCAGGAACACCAGCCCGTCGCCGCTATCGCCCGCCGTGTCGTGCTCCAATGGCTCCATGGCCTTCTCCCACGAAGGCTCGACGGCGCCCATAGCCGGGAAGCGATCCTCTTCACCCGTCGCACGGAACAAGCTGGTGAAGCGCTCCTCGTCAGTGCGCGGGCCTCGTGAAGAGCCCAGAACGAGCACCTCGACCCTGCGACCGTCCTTCCGTCGTCCGGCCACCAGTCACCAACGCAACGCAACGCTGCAGAACTACGGCGCGCGGCTGTCCATGACGGCCGAGCACACTTCCATGGACGAGCACCCGCATTCCGCAAGCACCGACAGCGAGGCCGAATACACGCAATTCTTCACAGCGAGAATCATGAAGGAGCGATCACTAACGAGGCGGAGAGGCTCCGTGGCATATGCGAACGGGTTCAAGAGGATATTCCCGGACGACAAGCACAAGCCCATGCTCGTGCTCGCGCGGTCGGTCGTAGCAGGTTCAGAAGACGTAGATGACTCGACAAGCGATGACGGTGAAAGCGTCTTCTATGTAAGTAGGCCAGAGACGCCGCTCAGCATGACGGCCATGTTTGCGTCCAGGGAAGCAAACCAAACTCGTGGCCGGCCCTCCACATCCCAGCCCGAGCATGCCCCTCGACCCAAGCGCTCCTTCTCCATCACTTCCTTCCTGTCGTCCAAGAAGGAGCGAACAGGCGCCGTGTCCAGACCCAGACTTTCCCGCCGTGCGAGCCAGCGGGTCAACTCAGCACCCATCCTGCCTACTATGAGCAGACGGCCACACAGCACCTCATATGGAGAAGGCCGCCGCGATGTGACGGACCCCAAACCAGCAAAGCGCGACATCGCCACGTCCGCCGGGCTGCCCGAGTCAGCGACGGCACGCAATGGTTCTCACACCAGGCGTCTGTCGTCGCCCTTGCCGGCGCTTCCTTCCTCTGACATGCTCGCTGGCGCGGGCTTGGCGCCCTTGTCTCAGCAGCCCGACGATTTGGCCTCAGCCGCACCGGGCGCCAATCAGGCGCCACCATCCCCTACTCTAGCGCAATCGGGAGTTCGGGTCTCGCGTCATTCCATGGCCCCCTCAGAACAGGCCTCGACATTGGTCGGCTCGTCTGATAATGAACTTCGCGCCTTAGGCTCCGGCGACGAGGACGACGCTGACATTCAGAGCGACACCGTCTTTGATTCGCTGCGCACTGGTGCGACCAGAAGTACAGCTGGCGGCGCCCGTGGGCCTCGCATTGAGACCATATTCGACGAGTCACCCCCCGCCAAAGTCAAGGTCAAGGTCACAGCCCTACGCGATCTACTGCCGCCCGGCGCTTTTGGGGAGCCCACCGTCAATGGTGTCGCCGGCCACCAGAGCATCGCCGAGGAAGAGGAGAGCATCTCGACTCCCGTGCGGACAGTTCGTCCCCAGCGCTCATCGCAGGACTCGCCCACCTTCTCCCGAACACACAGTGCGCCTCTCTTCCCCAAGACGATAACGTCGTCTCCCCCGAGCATGCCCAAGCCGCTTTCGCTTGGCACATTGGAATGGGACTCGCGAGCAGGGGACGACGACGATAGCAGTAGGTGGTCACTAGAAGAGGCAGATGATGAGGATCCCTGGGTTGATCATCCAACAGTCAACCACAAGGCCACACCCGTGTCGCTGCTGCGACAGCACAAGCATCTGCTCGCGCCCGATTACGTTCCTAACCCAGCTACGCCCAAGCGTCCCACATCAGAATTCGGCGACAAGGACGCGCGAAGCAGCATCTTCGATTGGTCTGAACAGCAAATTGCAGACAAGAACTCAGGAAGCTGCACGCCGCCACGGCCCCGGACGGTGCACGGAAAGAAAGATGCGGACCGCAGAGGCAGTCGCTCTGTTGGCCGCAGAGTCCCCAGCGGGTTGCACGCCCGCAGCCAGAGTGTGCCCGTCGTTCCGGATCTGACTGGCAAGCGTAGCACAGTGGTCACAAACAAGTTTGGCACCTGGGGTGTGGGAAGCAAAGGTGTCACCGAAGACTGGAACGACGACTTTGACTTTTCCGAGCTCACTGAGGAGCCTGCTGCAGAGGACGGAAGCTCGCCTATGGGGAACAGTGGCTCGTCTATGGTCGTACCAAAGACTATACAAGAACAGCAGAACAACGTCCTTGCAAACATCAGTCTTCTGCGCGAATGGGGTCTACTAATTGAGGAGCTCAAAGAGCAAAGAGTACGCGCGGTTGCGCTCGGCATGATACAAGGCCCCCCTTCAGGCATGTGGCTTGAAGTGGATGCGATGATCGAGCTTGCAGACCAAGAGGCCGACCACGAGGGCCTAGCCCACGCCTCTCCGCCCTCATCGCCTGGCTTCGACGACGACGCTTTTGATGAACCACCTGCCAGCCCTAGCCTTGGACGAGGAAGGCAGAAGTCATCATCTCCTAACGAAGATAGCCCCAAGCCACCACAGTCAGCGCGCCCTCTGAGGAAGTCGATTCTCCCATCCAACAACGGCATCTTTACCC